GGTTAATTTGCATTTAATTACATAGATATAGATTGCAATTTTAATTATCTTGATGATTTTGCAGATTGCCCAAGTCAAATTTGAGAAATCTTGGTCCTTAGATGAAAGTTGCCCCCAAAGTAGCTACCTTGAGGAGTAAAAGTGGCAACTACAGCAAGCATGGCATTAAAGGTTCCAAAGTAGCCACTTTCAAGCCCAAAAGTGGCAACTCCAGAAGCTCCAGGAACGCCAATCTTGAAGCATGATGCGCGTGGTTACTATGGGCTCTCATAGTAGCTACGCGCATCCAAAGTAGTTACTTTGAAGACCAAAAGTGGCAACTTCAGAAGCTCCTGGACGCTGATTTTGAAGCCTTCCTGCGCGTGGTTACTATGGGCTCTCATAGTAGCTACGCCCATCCAAAGTAGCTACTTTCAGCACAAATAGTGGTAACTCCAGAGAAGCGGCATTCCTTCCATCCTGCGCGTGGACACTTTCAAGGCCCAAAGTGGACACTTTCAAAGGCAAAAGTGGACACTTTGGTGACATGTCATCCACTATAAATAGATTTTAGGAATTAGGGTACGGGACTTTTTGACACTTTACACATTTTTCCTTTGCCAAATTGGGATAATTGCTTACGACATTGGAGTCTTGGGTGACAGCCAAGGGTCCTCTATAGGTTTTAATTTCCAATTTCTCTTTTGATTTTTGTTGAATTTGCATTAATGATGTTTACGTTCTTGCATTTCTTTCTCTCTTTTGTGAAGCCCATCCACATGGAGGGCTAAACTTCCTTGTAATTCCTAGTCAATGCACATGAATCTTGAATTCTTGGGATTAATTGCAATACAAATCTTTCTTTCCTTGAATTTATTAACCCCAATCTCTGAATGAAATGGAATTTGCATGAAGGGAACATTGCTTAATGAACCCTAATTTACCTAACGAAATTCTAATTCAAAATTGCTTAATTTTGGTTAATCCTTGAGGTTGCTTAATCTTAGGGATAGAGATTGGAGCCCATTAAGATGCTTAATTTTAATTGGGATGTCAAAGTTAGTCTTCGCTTGTTAGATTAACTTAATTTAAGGGAAAGAAAAGGGGATTATTGAATCATTTGGAAGAATAATGATAGAACTCATTGCTTGACTAGGGATTACTCATTTTAATTGATTGAATTTCATTAATTTACATTTCGTTCTTGTTTAAAATCCAGAAATTGACAAACCTCCCCCCAATTTACTTGCTTTAAAATACATGTTTACACTTGTTCGATGTATGTTCCCAACCAAAAATTCCTTGGAGACGACCTAGGATAACACCCTAGTACTGCATTCATTTCTTTGCATATTTGATGAGGATTAACGACAAATCTTTTGCATGACGAGTAGCTCAAATATCGTTTCATCAGGAAACCTCCAGCACAACATCAACCATTGTTCTTGTGATGTATTCATCCCATTGGTAGAAAGCCTCCAATTACATCCAATCTAGAATACAATGATGTGGACACCTTCTCAGCAATTCTTTGTATCTTTCCCAAGCTTCATACAAGATTATCCTTCCTGCTGCACAAAGGATGTATTTCTCCTCTCAGCTTAGTAGCTTGGATGGAGGAAAATACTTGGTCAGAAATTTATTCATTAGCTCTGTCCAAGTTGTGATGCTTCCTTGTGGTTGAGCTTGCAACCAGCATTTGGCTCTATCTCTCAAGAAAAGGAAATAATCTCAGTCTGATGGCTTCTTCACTAACCCCATTCATTCTTATGGTATCACATAGCTGCAAAAAAGTTGAAATATGTAGGTTAGGGTTATCAAAATTTCCACCAGAAAACTGATCCTATTGGACTAAGTGTAATAGTACAGGTTTAATCTCAAAATGGTTGGCTTGGATAGTTGGCCTAAGTATAGAAGAATTAAAACCTTGCATGTTAGGAATTGCATAGTCCCCTAATGTTCTAATCCTATTCTGTTCTGCCATCTCTATTTCTGGATTTGGTTGTCTCAAAGATGTAGGTGTTCTTTTTACTCTAGGAGTGTTCTGAATTTATGGAGAATAGACAACTTCTAATTCACTATAACTTCCTATGAATTTTTCTGCTCTAGCCTATTTTCTTAATCTTCTTAAGGTTATATCTATGTCAGGATCAAAGACCAGAATTGATTTATTTTTGTTTGTACCACGCATATACAAATTAAAATGAAACAAAATTAGACTACAAATCAGTATTCAGAAATGCACAACAAAGATTATGCAGAAAAATATCAGTAAAAGCATATAAAATTCAAGTCTAGCAACTGCAGAATTATGCAGAATTCATTAGAAAATGATGCAGAGAAATGAAAAATGAAATCATGCAGAAAACAACAGAAAATAATGCAAAAAACTACACAAAATGCGAAAAAAAAAAATCATGCAGAAAAATTTGGAAGCAAAACAACAAAAATAAATGCTCAATCTAGCTACCTCTCTGCTACTAATGATATTGAAACACAAATTCCCCAGCAACGGTGCCAAAAACTTTTTGTTTACAATCTCTAAACACTGGCAAGTGCACGAGGAATTGCAGCAAGTAATGAGTAATTTTTAAGATCAGAATATCATCTCCACAAGGAATTAGGAAATCAATTATCACTTCACAGAACTATAACCATTTGAGCCATAAAATTGGAAGATTTGTAACATTCAAAGTCAAAAAGAACAGGAACAATCAAAAGGTAAGAAACTTTGCAGTAAAAATAGAGTATGAAAGTTGTGATTAGAAATGAATGAAGAATAGTTAGGATTTTATTTCACAAGGAATGTCAATATCAATTCAATTATGCCTCTGAACATTATCAAGCAATTTGGTTAATTCCAATCAGTTTCTCTTATTAATAGTCAAAGTTTAATTCCTTAAATCATTGACCCTGACAGGCAACTAAACCCCCTAATCCCTTAGGTGAAGTTCAATTTCAATTGTATTAAGACTTAGAACCGTAGGATTGCAGTATTAGGTCTCATTATCCCTAAGAAATCTCCAATTCTGATTCCTAACTCAGATCAGAGAAGTAAATCCAACTTCCATTGGTAAATGTTCCTCTTTGATTAACCATACAAATTTCCATACATAGAGTGCAATAACAGCAGAATTAACAATTTAATTAATCCAAGAACTCAAATTTCATAAGCAAACATCAAATCAACACATCAATTCAAGTTCCATAAATTCCTAACTACGAAGAATTAAGCAGACATTGTAACAGGGAAAGAGAAAGAAGGAGAAGAAGAGAAGAAACTTAGAAAAGCCATAGCCACGAGCTTCAATCCAATGCCTCTTCTTGAAGCTTCAAGGTTCAACCCCAATCCTCTCTCTCACCCTTTCCCAACGAGAATCTAACAGAAAAAATGAAAAATGAACAAAAGACCCCGAGTTCTGAGCTTAAAACATGTATTTATAGAAATCCCAATTTTGTGCGTTATCACTCTTGCTGATAAGAGTGGCCACGCAAAAACTCATGTAGTTTCTGGAAATTGGAACTATCACTTTCGCTGGTAAGAGTTGCAACGCAGGAGGTTGAGTAGTTGCGCGTGATCACTTTCGAGAGCAAGAGTGACCACACATAAATTGCCTTGATACACTTCTCTCTGGAACATCCACTTTCGTTGGTAAAAGTGGTAACGCAGAGCTTGCTAAAATTGTGTCTTCTCTGGAACACTCACTTTCGCCAGCAAGAGTGTTAATGCAGAGCTTGCTGAAATTTTGCCTTTTTTGGAACACTCACTTTTGCCAGCAAAAGTGTTAACACAGAGCTTGTTCTTCTGAGTAACTCTATGGAACACTCACTTTCAATGATAAAAGTGGTTACGCCCAGGCTTCACTTTTCTTTTGAGCTCCGGAGTGATCACTTTCACTGACAATAGTGATCATGCCCAGCCTGCATTCCATTGTTCTTGTGTTTTGGAGTCCATAATTGCTATTCTTCCTCTTCCTTTCCATTGATCTTCCATTTTCATGACTTTTGCTCAGATTATTCCTACAAAAACAATATTAAATTCTTAATTTCTAAGCATAAATTTCACAATTGTTAAACTAACTACATAATAAAAGAAAACTTCCAATCATTCTATTTTTCTGAGTTTTTGTACTTTTCTTCTATATTTTCCTTATCAAATGGGTTAGAAATACACTAAAATATTAGTAAAAATATGGATTCATCAGGATCCATCAAAAGAACATTCTGTCTTCCAGGTTAATTTGTTGATTTGATTTGATAGATGAACAATTTTCTGAGTTTTAAGAAGACGACTTTTCTCTTAATTTTTTTGAATTTATAGACACTTCCATTTGTGAATATTGTAATAATTCTTCTATGTGTGACACTTGTATTTCTGAATTTTTGAATGTAAATTCTGCAACTTCTGATATTGGAGAAATTGAGAAATTAGTAGGGGTAGAATGTGATTTATTGAGTTCAGCAAATACAGTTGTATCTAACCCCTTTGATTTGAATGCTGTAGAAATTTCTTCCACTGAGAGTGCCAAATCACTTCTCTCTGTGGAGCAACCTCCCACACTAGAGCTCAAACCCTTCCCAGTATAATCTCCACTAAGATGAATATTGATCAAGAAGAGAAACTCCTTGAAGTGATTAAGAGACACAAGAAAGCTATAGGCTAGACTCTCGCTAATATTCCTGGGATCAGCCCCTCTCTATGCATGCACAGAATATTGTTGGAGAAGGGTACTAAACTAGTGAGGCAGCCTCAGAAGAGGGTGAATCCCATTATTTTGGATATGATGAAGAAAGAAGTCACCAAGTTACTGTAGGCTGGGATTATCTACCCTATTTCAGACAACACTTGGGTTAGCCCAGTCCAAGTGGTCCCAAAGAAATTTAGACTCACCGTGGTGATGAATGAGAAAGATTAATTAATACCCAGCAGAGTTCAAAACAGTTGGAGAATCTGTATAAACTACCAGAGACTAAACTAAGCAACCCAGAAGGATCATTTTCCATTACCCTTCATTGACCAGATGCTAGAGAAGTTAGCTGGTAAGTCTCATTTCTGTTTCCTTGATGGTTTTTTCGGTTATTTTCAAATTTTCATAGCACCTGAAAACTAGGAAAAGACCACTTTTACATGTCCTGTTGGCACTTTTGCCTATAAAAGAATGTCTTTTGCCTTGTGCAATACTCCTGGCACATTTCAAAGATGTATGTTAAGCATTTTTTTTTACTTAGTAGAGCATTGTATAAAAGTTTTTATAGATGATTTAACTGTTTATGGCCCATCTTTTTCTACATGCTTAGTTAATTTAGAAAAAGTTTTGAAAAGATGCATTGACACTAATCTTGTGCTAAATTTTGAGAAATGTCATTTCATGGTAGAGCAAGGGGTAGTGTTAGGTCATATCATATCTGAAAAAGGCATTGAGGTAGATCCTGCCAAATTAGATGTTATTGCACAATTACCTTACCCCTCCTGTGTTCGAGAGGTTCGTGCTTTCCTTGGCCATGCAAGGTTCTACAGAAGATTCATCTAAAACTTCTCCAAAATTGCCATTCCCCTATCCAAGCTTTTGCAAAAGGAGGTTGAGTTCAATTTTGATGAAAAGTGCAAGGAAGCATTTAATATGCTTAAGGAAGCCCTGACCACCACACCCATCACCCAACCCCAGATTGGACCAAGCCATTTGAATTGATGTGTGATGCATCCAATTTTGCAGTAGTAGCCTTAACACAGCGGGTTGGTCAGTTTCCTCACATCATTTATTATGCTTTTAGAACCTTGAATCCAACACAATGTAATTACACCATAACTGAAAAAGAATTGTCCCTGGTATGCTGACATTGTTAACTTTCTTGTTGCAGGGTACTTTCCAGTAGATGCACCAAGAGCTAACAAGGAAAAGATAAGGAGTGATGTCAAACATTATGTTTGGGATAATCCTTATTTATGGAAATTCTACAGTGACCAAGTCATCAGAAGGTGCATACCTGATGAAGAGATTCCATCCATACTACAGTTTTGTCATGCCTCAACTGTAAGAGGTCATCAAGGACCCCAAAGGACAACAAGGAAAGTGTTAGATGCAGGACTGTACTAGCCCTCAAATTTTCAAGGACTCATGGCAAACATATTCCACTTATGAGAAATGCCAAAGAGCGGGAAAAGTAATTACTTGGAGACAAGAAATGCCCTAACAACCCATCTTATATTGTGACATCTTTGATGTCTAGGGTATTGACTTTATGGGGCCCTTCCCTTCATCTTTTGGTTTTCTTTATATACTTAATTTTGTTGATTATGGCACAAAATGGGTGGAAGCTAAGGCCACCAAGACTAATTATGCTAGAGTTATTGCAAATTTTATCCGTAGCAACTTGTTTTGCAGGTTTGAAATCCCTAGAGTCATCATTAGTGATCAAGGAAGTCATTTCTGTAATAAGACTATGGAAGTCTTGTTGAAGAAATATGGAGTTGTACACAAAGTTTCCACTGTTTATCACCCATAGACGAATGGACAAGCTAAACTCTCTAACAGAGAAAGGACTGGAGCCAAAGCCTTGATGATGCCTTGTGGGCACACAGAACTGCATTCAAGACACTCTTGAGAATGTCACCATATAGGGTGGTCTATAGAAAAGCTTGTCATTTGCCAGTTGAGGTGAAACGCAAAGCATATTGGGCAGTGAAGACCTGTAATATTCATTATGACTCAGTTGGGGAACAGAGAAAGTTGCAACTGCAAGAGCTAAAGGAGTTGCGTCTTGAGACTTATGAGAACTCAAGAATCTACAAAGAAAAGACCAAGAGGTACCATGACAAGATGATCTCAAGAAAAGAATTCTACTTTAGTCAAAAGGTCCACTTGTTCAATTCTCGCCTCAAACTCATCCTCGGAAAGCTCAAATCAAGGTGGTTCGCCACAAAGGTATTCGCTCATGGTTCAGTGGAAATCCAAAGTGATTCTACTAGTAAAAGGTTTACGGTGAATGGGCATCGTTTGAATCCATTCTTACAAAATTCAACCACTTTGAAGGAAGTTGAAGAGATTGACCTGCACTCCTCATCATAAGCTCTCCACCCCAACCATTGGCCAGCATAACTCACTTCATACGTCAAGCTAGTGACATTAAAGAAGTGCTGTGTGAGTAGCAACTCACAAATTGATTAAGAATTTTAGCAGTTCCTTTACATTCAATAAGCATTTTATGTTTGAGCTGTGATATGTGATGAATCCCTGCATAATTCTACTGCTAAGGCTTTTATTTTTGCATTATATTTGTTAATTGACACGATTTTCTGCATATTCTCAGATTTTTACAGTGGGAATTGGAAATTTTGTACTAGAATCATGCCCAAATCCAAGGAAATTCAAATGCACAGATGAATGCTCAGTTTCACCTTACAATATAGTCACTTTGGGGGAGAAGTTTCAATTTCATCATCAGAGGTGACCACTTTCAATTTCATAATAATCACTTTCAGCTGAGGTAAGTGGTCTTCCTCTCTGTAGTTACCATTTTCAGTTCATAGTGACCGCGTGCAAAGGCAGTGAGAATTAGAGGCTCTTTGTAGTAGCCACTTTGGATCCCATAGTGGACACTCCAAAGACCCTTCCTGAGCACACATGCTGCATGTAACTACTCTCATTTCATAGTAGCTACATGTAACCCCATTTAAATTTTTGAAAAACTCTAATGCACGTGTCCACTATGATTTTCAAAGTGACCACGCCCACTACCTATATATTGAAAGCCCCCATTTTTGCTCTTACTCTCTACAAAACTTCAAACCCCAATCCCAAATTTCTTTGCACTCATACCCTTCGTCTCCACTATTCTTTTCCTACGCTTATCCCTTTCTGCATTTATGCGCTAATTTCAAATTCCATTCCAGGTAATTTTCCAACTCCCTTCTTTCTATGTTAGGGTTTATGACAGCCCAAATTAGGGATTTTGATTTAGGACTTCATGCTTTTGAAATTTCTATGTAAATTCTGTTATCTGAAGTGTGCTTGCATGATTGAAGAGGATTAGGTGTTTAATTGGGATAATTCGCTGCATTTTCCCATGTCAAAACCCTCGGGTACACATCCTCATATGTGATAGTAATTGTTTTGTGTGTTTTGTCGCAATGATGTTTACTTTAAGTTTACTTAATGCAAATGGGTGCTACCTTATCTTGAAATTCACCTTTCCATGGTTAAATTGCACTGCGCTTTACCCTGATTTAACCCACCATGTGCAGAACCCATAGTGATTACTATCCTATGTACACATGATCCCTTAAGGTGGTGAATTTTGATTTTACAAAGTGTTCACTTTAGGAATTGCATTGCATTCCTAAACTGTTAGGTGTGATGTTTCTCCTAGTGCTTGTGCCTACTCATCCAATTTGTGAATCTTGCTGCATTGATGAACACAATCACTTTCCTTTTCACACACTCACACTTTGTCTCTCTGCTAGCTACTTTATTGCAAAGTGACTATTTAGATTACCTCACATCAATTGCATGTATTTCTGCCTGGACATCCGTCACTATAATGTTCATGTTAACTGCATAATTTTCCAATGCATACATGCACATTTCCATTTAGTTTCTGCAGATTGAAAATAATCACCCTTTCTCTCAGTAATGAACATTTTGAGACTGCACTACCTATAGTTTGAGTGATTCTTTTTGAGACTGCAGTAGCATACATCGTGGTTGTTACACTAAATTTGGGATCTTGTATTCATTACCCCAATTATTTGCATTCCCTGCACTCAATATCATTTTGCTACTGCATCACCGTTTGTGTTAATTTTGTTGCCTTAATGTTGTTATGCTTGAACCATAGAGTGATTACTTTCACACTGCACTCCATTACAGCACACATTCTGGTTTGCCTTGCACTTTCAGTCTGAATTTTATTTGTTTGCCATATACCTCTGCTGTAGCATATCAATATGCATCCAACTCACTTTCCTTCTTTTTTTCCTTCTAGCAACCATGGTTAGCACACCAAGGAAATATCCTCCAAGGCCCAAGAGAGCCAAGACAGTCGGTGCATCTTCCTCCAGACCTCCATGAGCACATGATCCTAGATTCCGGTCATTGGAGCATGAAAATTATTTTAAGACCAATATTCTGAGAAGACAGTTGGTGCAAGACAGGAATTTTGAAATATCGGAAGGCACTTATCCTCAATTCCGAGATGAAATTCATAAAAGAGGTTAGGATCACTTCACCACTTGTGTTGGCAATGGATGAAGGAAATCACCCAGAAATTCTATGCAAACACCATAAGTATAAAAGGCAACACTCTTCCTCCTAAGCACAACATGGTGAGGGGAAAAAAGATCAACTTCACCCCCTCCAACATCCAAAGAATTCTAAACATCCCAGTTGTGCAAAAATTAGTTGGGCAGTTGGACTTTTCTACCTTCAGCATCTTAGAGGACAAGGATTATAAGCCTATCCTTCAAGCCATCTGCAAAGAAGGTGAGAACTAGGAGTTTGACACCAGAATGCAGCCCAAAAACTTGACAACAAAACACTTGCTTCTTGCAGCCAAATTTTGGAGTGTCTTTATCCTCAGTTCTTTCATGCTAGTCATCCATTCTTCCACATTGGCAATGAAGCGGCAGAGCTCATATATGCCATCCTCATAGGAGCCGAGACTCCCTTGGTTTTCCTTCTATCTTTACCATGTTGTGCCAGGATGCTGGGATCGACTTCTGAGACTACCAGCAGAAGGTCAAAACAACCCCTCCAATATCCACAGCCATAGTGAAGGAGCTATTTCAACCACGAAGACTGCTGACCCAGGATTGTCATTGCCAACTAAGTATAGGACGCCACACCACTGAAGATCTGAGACTAGATGATGGCAGAGGCAGAATGTCATCCATGTTGGCCAAAAGGCCTTAATGACTCTAATGGACACCATGTTGCAAAATATAGGGAAGAAATTTGGGATGACTACAACACAGCTGTATGATGCCCCCATCTTCAGTGCTCCCTACCTTCGAGCAGCAGTCCAGAGTGATCTTCTCCCTTTTGCTCCCGCTGCCCCAGATGAGCTGATGCAGAGGAGAGCAGCTCCAACTCCTCAGCAGAAGAGGGGATGCTAACAATAATGATGACTTTCTCTCCTCCAGCCAGATGAAGTGTCATTTAGTTTAGTTTATTTGTTATTACATTCGCTTTTCACTTATCTTCTTCCATTTCCCTGTATATATTATTAGCTACCATTTCTGTGTAATTATCGTACATTATTGCCTTTATCTTTACTTCTCTACTTTTATATTTTTCTTTTATCTTGAACATTTAGGACATCTCCACTGCTATATATATATATATATATATTAGTCGTATTCCGCTTTCATATTTGATCTCTATACTAAACTCTGTGTATATTTGTGCAAAAAATGCCCTCAGTCCCATCAAGAGCATGAATTTGACCCCCGAGTTATGAATCTAGAGAATGAAGTACCTCTCAAAATTGGTTAATATGTGGGCATCCTAATGGCACCGAGGCGAGAGAGAGATAGGGAACTCTTCCAATCTTAGTACCTAGCAGTCATTCCCAGGTTTTTCAGTCCCGAGATGGTTTTGTACGCTTTGCCTTAGCGACTCAGCAAAAAAGAAACATGCGAGAGACCTAAAATTGGACTATTTGGCCCAATGGCACCGAGGCGAGAGAGAGGAGCAAGGTAACTCCTCCATATTAGTCCTATGACATCACTTCCTAAGGTGTTCACAATGGCCCGAGATTGAGTTTGTTATCGCGCTTTCTTAGACTTGCATAAAAGACCGATGAACGAGACCCTAAAAATCAAATTTGGAGTCCCATGCTCATCCCGGAGGTCGAGAGAAGAGACAATGGGAACTCTTCTATTAGTCCTACAGTTCAGCTTCCAAGGTGTTCAAGCTGCCCGAGATCATGTTTGTATGAACTTTCCCTTAGCGACTCAGCAAAGAGGACCCAGGCGAGACCCAAAATTGGAATTGGCCCAAGGCAAAGGAAGGCGAGAGAGAGACAGTGAACTCTTCTAATTTAGGTCCTAGGCAGTCACTATCCAAGGTGTTTATGCCGAGATGAGGTTTACCTTCTTATCGAACTGAGTCGAGTTGTACGCGAAATTCAATTTAAGCGCTTCCAAAGACAGCGAGTGCCAAAGGAATTGGTCATATGGGCTGAGGCGAGGAGAGGAAATCTTTCCTATTTCAGTCCTTACGCACTCACTTCCAAGATGTTTTCAGTGGGGCCCGAGATGATTTGTAACCGTTCCTTAAGCGACTCAAGCAAACAAGGACCACAGGCGAGAACCTAAATTGGAATTTGGGCCCAAGGCACCCGGAGGAGAGAGAGAGACAGCGGACTCCGTCCAATTAGTCCTAGCAGTAACCTTCAAGGTGGTTTCAGTGGCCCGTGAGTATTGAGCTTTTGTACCTTTCCTTATAGGCGACACTTCAGCAAAAATAGGACATGTAAACGGAGACAGATTGGAATTGGCCCAAAGGCAGCTTGGGCGAGAAGAGAGTACAGGGGAAACTCCTCCATTAGTCTAGCAGTCACTTTCCAAGTTTTCAGTATGCGCCCGAGATGAGTTGTACGCGTTTCCTTAGGATCACAAAAGAGGAACCGACTAGACCAAATGGAATTTGACCCATGCATCCCGGAGAGCGAGAGAGAGGACAGGGAAATCCTTCACATCAAGTCCTAGCGTCACTTACATCAAAGATGTTTTATGTGGCCCGGATGATGGGTTTTCGTCGATTCTTATCATATCGAGCTCAGCAAAAAAGAACCCGCGAGACCACACAATTGAATTTTGTGGGCCCAATGGTATACCCGGAGGCGAGAGAGAATAGGAAAGGAACTTCCTACCATAGTCTAGCAGTAGCACTAAGTCCAAGTGTTTCAGTGTGCATCCGATGATGAGTTTTTTTTGTACGCTTTTCTCTTAAGCGGACTCAGCAAATAAGAGACACAGAACGAGACACCAATTGGGAAATTTTGGGCCCAATAGCGACCGAGTGAGGGAAAGAGAGACAGGGAACTCCTCCAATTAGTCCTAGCAGTC